AGCCGATGTTTTTATTTTTATTTTTAAGAAACATATCACTTTTTATTTAACACATATTTCTTTTTTTTTAATAACTTTTTTTAAAACAGAACTTCTTTTCTCTGTTAAACGTGTCTTCCCTTTGCCCTGGCCACCCACTCTCTAGCACCCACAGCCCTCCCTTACAGGCTCTGGTATCTCCACTTATCCCCTCTCCTATCATATCTTTAGATCTTTCCATTTTTGCCTTAGAGTGCAGACATTTGGTACATGTGGTATGGGGATATGCAGTATGTATCTTTCAAAGTCTGGCTTACTTCACATTAAGTCTGCTATAGTCATCTTCTTGGAATGAAATAATAGGGGCTCATTGTTGCTTATGCAGAGCCCACCTCTTAGCCTGGTATAACCTCTGCTGCCTGATAGTAGCCATTATGCCTGCATCCCTCATTGAAGAGTGGCAACTCAGCTGGATTGCCCACCAGACAGCCCCTGCAGGCCCCTTTTATCTCCTGGCCCGTATGAATGGGACCTCTGGATTCGAAGAAATGAATTATATAAGAAAGACCTTCTTCTAAGCTTGTGTCGACTTTTTGGATTTACTGACTCTATTTTTTGTTTCTGTGTTCATGGATGTACCCATATGTGGTTAGGCACACACTGGAGTCGGCACACACAGGCACTTTCACAACATCCGCTCTCACAGGTGCACACACTCCTGTACAGTTTTGTGGTACATATTGTATAGTACTTATTCCATTTGCAGAAAAGTGCCCAATCCCGAGGTAATTTTCTCTTACCTGTTGTAATATTGACGTTAAAGCAGAATTTGACTTGCTGTAATATTTTGAGAATGTTCAGTGTTTTGTGAAACTCAGTGCTTTGTTGTACGTTAAAATGGAGTTATTTAGCTCTCAGGGCTGTGTTGGCAGGTGTCAGACACTGATGTCAAACTGGTTCGTCTCAGTAATGAATTCAGTGGTGGTATTTGGGTCCTGTCACCAGGGTCTTCTAGGACAAATATAACGCTCTGGCCAGTCAGCCTGTTCCCATGTGTCTGAGGTTGGTACTGAGTGAGATCAACAGGACAGTAACATCTATGACATAAGTTTGCATCTGTCATTTTATTCAAAATTTTTTTTCTCTTTAGGTAACCAGCCCCAGCAAGGAGTGACTCCATATGGGCATCCTTCACACTTCTGAACCTGGACGATGAAAAGACATGAAGTTTTAAGTTTGCACTGAAAAATAGAAAATTGAATTTAAAGCGTTAGTCATACTTCGAAATGTCACTTTGTTCTTTTTTTTTTTTTTTTCATCTGTTAACTATTTTTTATGCTACATGTTACACAGAGGTGTTTAAACAAAAGCAAAGGAGAGATTGTAGTTTGATTTCATCACGTGCAACTTTAAAGTAGGTTTAATAATGTGGATCATGCGGGCCTACTCCAGGAAGAATGTGGTAGCAGACCTTTTGAAATTGGTGCTTTTTATTTTTATTTTTTTTTTGAATCTATAGAACGAATTATGGTGGATTTAAATATGTATGTGTTCATTAATGATTTTTTTTTTCCTTCCCAAACTGTGCTGGACCAAACTACTGATTTGAAAGGCATCAGATCTTTATAGAAAAGTGACCCATTTCTTCTGCATTCACCTGGGATGATGAAATGGACATTTATTTGCATCACTCTAATTTGGAATGTTTGTAATTTCATAAGCACTTTATAAACTTTGTTCTTATTTATGTAGGACTTTTCTTTGCTTTCATTATGGTTAAAAGGTGCTGAAACAGGTTGTTGCTTAGTACTTAAACTTTTTAAACCAAGAACTTCAAGGCTTCCGGGAGAGCCACTCCAAGATGTTCGAAAGCCTGTTAGAAGTAGCTGTACTCTACTTTGTTTTCGGTGGGAAGATCATTGACCAGAATCTTTGTGAAGGTACCACATGAGAATTCTAAAGACCTGAAAGAACCACAGTGGAATCATTCTGATTACTCATTGCCAGTGTTGGGCAAAAAAAAAATGACTTTGTTCAGTTTGGGTTCTCCGGAACCTTATGCCAATTCGAAGGGAAAAAAAATTCTCACAGCTGGCCTGAGATTCCATAGTGCTCAAATTTGAAGTGGTTTCCAGAGAATCTGGCCCCAAAGTCCAGAAGGCTCTGGTTTTCCTAAAAGGTGTATTTGCTGTTTATTTTGTATGGTAAGTATTTGCTATTTTGAATTTAATTATTAATGTTGGTGTCAGTCTTGGTTGTGTATTGCATATACTGTATTTATAAATTGGTGCAAAAAGCACAAGTAAAGTAAATTATACATCAAATTTATTATAAAGAATAGTAACTATTTTAACTTTGTTCAAGTATGTGGTAATTTGCTCCTATTAGAGTAAAAAGAGACAGTAAATTATTATCAGTTTGTGTAACTTAAGAGTATTCCATATAATATTTTTTTAGATTTAGATGCATAAAATTTTGAATGTGAAAATTGCAGGGCATTTTAAAACATACGTGGGGGATATTTTCCCATATTCTGTGTTAATTCATTTTATTTTGCCACATGATTTTACATGTAATGTAGTCAAGCATACTGTGAATAGATTTGTCTATAATGAGCAAACCATGTAGAACTCCTTTTTTAAAACGTAGCTAGAACAACTTTGGTAGACAATTTCTTTTGCAAAGCATTATATAAATAATTTATATCTTCCTAGGTGAGTTACTCATTGCAAAGTTTGACTCATGCAAATGACCTCAAATACATGTCAGCTTCCTTTGCTGCGGCAACATCCATGTGAACTGCTTTGTACACTGTGAAAATATTTCGCTCCAGCCTGTTCATTTCGTGTTTACTCTAGGCTGGGAAAGACTTTGCCAAAACATTAAAGACCTTTCTTTTCACTAAATTAACATATTCTATCTGCTTTCAAAAGATGTATCTTTACACTGCAGCTGGTTTTATATATCAGGTGTTTTTGTTGTTCCCTCCTTTAGAATCACACTCAGAGTTCATAAAATTATTTTTCTTCAAAGTAATATATCCATATAATGATTGCATTGGCAAACAACCGAAATGTGAATGTTGTGCCTAGTGAGTGAGTCCTGTCCTGTCCTTGTTTTCTTTCTTTCCAGGAATTACTGCTATTTAAAATGCCAGTTTTTAGTTTTAACCCTATATTTTTATAGTTCGATATTGCAAACAGCAGTGATACTCTTTCAAGAATGAGTGTTATAATGGCATAGCAATTGTATGCACTTTATATTTTGCAAACGTTAATTTATTATTCATTTTGCACATGAAAGTTGTGGGGTATACCTCTGCTGTGTACTTTTTTTAAGTGAGGGAGCTAAGTCATGATAAGGCCCTCCCTACAATTTCAAGATTCTGCAGAAAGTTGAGAAAAACCCTAGAGCTATTTCCCCTTGTGCATTATAAACAACTGGAATTTTCTAATTCAGTCATCATATTTTTCCCACTTCATCCACTCTCCTAAGAGATTCTTATTTTTCTTTTTTCCTTTCGAGTAAATGGATTTGATTGCATTAAAATCACAAGGGAAAGCTCTGTGGTAGAACTTGGTAATTTGCTTATTGAGATAGAGAAGAAAAATATCCTAGAGTAAGGTGGAGACCCTAGCTCCCCTTAAAGATTAAGACCTCAAAGCCTAATGGAGTTTGGGTGTACCGATCACAATTCTTGGACATAAAAGATTCTTAAGTATACCCATTTATACTGTAAGCTCATTCCCAATTGGGTTGTAGTTATCATTTTACTTACCCTTCTCAGCCCAGAAATAGTAGGAGATCCCTCTACAGTGAGTATCCTTTGACCTCTGGCAGCCACAAGGTGCCAATGTCAGAGATTAGTAACAATCAGATGACCTCTTAGGTGGGGCCAGCTGAGAGTTGGAATGATGAAAACACAGTGAAAGGAACTCTGGGACATCCCAGATGATTGGCAGGGGCTAACGTAGCTCTCAGTTTTTGTGTACGGAGAGGTCTGAACAAGACCTATGGTTCGTTCATTTTCTTTCTCCCTCGTTTATCAGAGCCCTGTAATTCTTAAGTAATAGACAAATATTTGAATACATGCCGGAAAAATTACACTGGAAAATACCAGCCTCTTGAATCAGAAAGGATGAATCATATATTGTCTGCCCCCCTCCCCCACAACTAGTTCAGGTTACATTAAGCATGTACTATTAATAAATTCAGTGAGTAATAGAACATTTGTGTAGGGGTTGATTAAACTTTAAATACAGTGAATCTTCATTATATATAATAGATCTCAACCCTCCCAAACATTTTTTTGTTGCAAAAAGAATTCATCACTCAGTGAAATAAAAATACTTATCAAGTTATTATTCCTCTCAGAAAAAATTTCCTTATGAACAGCTTTGCACCATGGGTGCCTGGGCTAGCTTTTAAAGTTCTAAAGAAGTTTCACTGTATTTTTAAAATTTTCGTAATGGGTATATTTGGGCGAATATAAAAATCAACCTTTTTTTTTCACATTTTGTGATGTATAGGTGATAAGTTGCTTTTTTACATGTGGAAAAACTAGCCTGCATTTCCCCCTAAATGCAGCTGTTAAAACATTTTTGTGTTCCCCATCCATGAAAATACTCAGTTTGAACAAATGTCAATCATAATCAAAACATGAACGTTCAGTGCTTCTTTTTGGTAGGTTTTAGCCAAATATTTATGAACCAGCCACAAAATATTTCTATATCAAGATGACAAATTTACATAAAGATGATAGATTTAATCTTTTCCATTGTCTCTGTTCTGAGTGCCATTGCTTGTAATGTTTTAGAAGGTGGACACTAGGCAAGTAGCAGGAAAAAAAGAGCCTATTCTTGACTGAAAAATTCAGGTACATCAGCCATTTATGATTTGATGGCGGACCGTTTTCTCTTCATGTTCATTGTTATTTGTTGGCAAAATAAAAGTGCCTTAAGTTAAAAGTTTGTTTTGAGATTCATTCAAGAGATCAGTATCAGTTCATAATGCATTTATCTACAAGTCCCTTTTTTTTTTTTTTTGCATGTCCATTGTAAATTTAATATTGTAAATGTATTCGAATCCATTTACATGCCTATGGCTGCCTTTGATTAAACTTCTTCCAAAAAATAAACCCTGTCCAGGGGTTGACTTTGTTCCATTTTATTTCACGTCAGATTACTTGAATGTAAGTCGTTGCATAATCGCTACCAAGCGGATTCTTTGCTGTGCATTTGTAGACCCCAGAATCTGAGGTTTGGGGGTTCTGAATGACTAGAGTACCTTGCGGGAAAAGTGGCTCACGTCCAGGTGTCTGCTCTTGGCTCGCCGTCACGGAGAGTAGGGAGTGGTCAGGCACCTCCCAGGTGATTTCTGGCTTGGGAACTCCCAGAGCCACACAGTGGAGCTGAAAGGCTGCTCCTGTCCTTGTGCGGATACTCCTGGGTAGGCGATTTGTGATTCGAGGTGGGTAGGCCACAATCGTCACTGGCACGGTGATCAGTGCACGCCCAGCACTATTTTGAGCCTGACAGATGTAGTTTCCTCTGTCATAAGCTGTTGCTTCTTTGATGACTAAGGTGCCATTTTCATGCAGTACGTATTTCCCATTAACCTGGGGCCTCTCTATCACATGCCCACTGGGCAGGGTCCATTTGATACTTGGCTTAGGGATTCCGTCAGACACACAATGCAGCCACAGAGATTCCCCACTGATACGTCTTACTGTCCCTAGCGCATATGTAAGGATAACTGGCTTCTGGCCAATTTCTAATACAATCAATTTCTCAATGTAGCCCACCTTATTTCTAGCTGCACAGCGATATTTTCCTGCATCATCGCGCGTAGTCTTATAAATGATCAAAGAACCATTGCTTGCTATCAGGTACTGAGGATTGGGTGGGCCGCTGAAAAACTGAGTGCCGTTGGGTAAAATCCAGATGATCTCAGGTGGGGGGTTACCGTCAACAGAGCAATTCAACGCTGTGGACTTGCCAAGGTGGGCGACTACTTTTTCATTAAAGGGATTTCGGAACGTCGGTCTCCTCAGCATCTCCAGTACCTGTAACTGCACCACCAACACGCTCTCTCCGCCGTCGTTCCGAGCCACGCAGATGAAGTCAGCCGAGTCTGAAAACCTCACGTTCCTGATTTCCAAGGTTCCATTTGGATGGACGCTGATTCTGCTTCCATAGTAGGGGGCCGTGAGGAAAATGTTGTCCGGCATGATCCACATGATCTGAGGAGGTGGTGTCCCTTCTGCCCTGCAGTCAAAGTGTTTCTTGGAGTGCCTCACGGCCGTGGCTTTAATGACCGTTCTGTTCCGGTACCGGCCGTTGATTAATGGGGGTCTAGAGACAACGTCCAGTTGGTACATTTTGGTGTCATCCCCACTGGGATTTCGTGCTACACACACGTACTCTCCAGAATCGAGGAGTTTGACTTTGCTGATGGACAAAGACCCATTGGCATGGAATGTGTACCTCTCATTGGAGAATGAAATCTTGTCACTAGAAGGTAACAACCAAAAGATTTGGGGTTTGGGCTCCCCAGTGACCTCACAGTCAAGGACGGCTATGTCTCCGGCTTTGACTCTCATGTTGGTCTTGTAGCCCTGCTTTATCCGGGGGGCAGCTGTGATAACGGTCAGGTGGACCTTCATTTCGTCTTTCCCCAGGGTATTTTGGGCATAGCAAGTATAGTCTCCTTCCTCCGCCACCCCAACTTTGTGGAAGTATAAGGTTCCATTGTTGAAAAGGACGTACCTTCTGGTCCTGCGGCCGCTGTCATCAGCCTGCATTGCGTTGTTGACCATCGTCCCATCAGGCAGACTCCAGGATATCTCAGGCACTGGGGAGCCGGACGCTTTGCAGTCGACTTGGAGCTCTTTCCCGTGGAGCACTTGCTTTTTAAAATACTGCTTGTGGTCAATTTTGGCAGGTTTCAGTCTCAGGCTGACGTGCATCAGTATCAGGTCATCCCCCATTTTGTTTCTAGCCACACACAAGTAGTCACCACCATCTTTCTCTGTTACTGATCCAATAAGCAGGGATCCATTTGGGTAGACGTGGATTCGGCTGCCCATTCTAAGGAGAAAAGAGTAACTTGAGTGTGCAGCTGTTAGCAATGGGGGAAGGTGACACATTATTGACACATTAGCTCTTATTGACACGGCATTAGCTCTCCCTAACCTCCAGCTTTATTAAAACGTGGAACGAAAACGTGTACATTTGAGGCGTACACTGTGACGTAGACATTGTGTTATACACGGTACGATGAATACTACAGTTAAGCTAATTAGTTCATCCATCACTTCAAGCACCTTTTCTTGGTGTGTGTGGTACATGGCATTTTAAACCAATGCAAGAAAAATTAAAATCGGTAATAGCTGTCTTTTCAGCCATTTGCTGAAAGATGAAATTAACTAAACAGATATAACTTAATGCAAACAAGGAATATTTCTTAGATGGACTTCAAAATGAAGCTCTCTGACATGGTAATTTTTTACAAGAATAATTTTATTGTTTTCTAATAGGGCATGTGTGTTTGCCAGAGAGACACAGAGAGAATATGTGTGTGTGTATATAATATAGGTGTATATAATATGTTTATATGTATTATATAGGGGTATATACTATATATGTATATATTATACATAAATGTGTAATATAGTTTTATATATTATATAGATTATATGTTTTATTCTCTATATTTATCGTACACATTTTTACTTGAAAAGATGCAAAATGATAAACATAGTAGTAACAAAACAATTGTCGAATGATTTGGTTAGGAAAAAGCCTACTCTGTTACAAAGAGAGAATGACCATGTAAAACTTGAGAGCCTCTCTGCAGTGTCTGCCTTCTGGGAACAGAAGTGCCGTGGCTTCTGAGTTAGCCGGAACTGAAAACTGTGTGGGACACCTTTTTTCCCATCAAGTGTTCAGCCACTACACAACTTGCCTTACCGCCTTTAGCCACCAGATGGCAGATCTTTCCCGGTAAAACAATCTACTTTTCTAGAGAGACCTGAAGTTGAACTGGTGCTTAAAAAAAAAGGTAATCTAGGATGACCCATAGGTGAAAATCTACGTGCGTGTTTTTCTTATGTTTCAGCAGCAGGGACTAGTCAGGTGGACAGCAAGGGGAGGAAACAGAGGACTGCTTCTCATAGCGTAACTGCTAAGCACTCAAACAGCCATGAGCCACGTTGATATCATAAAGTGTGGAGAGTATTGTAAAACATTGTGAAAGGTACTGATGTTCTTCTATTGTTTTTTCTTCAAGTGTAGAAGGAACTTCTCTGGCATAAAAAATATGATGAAATCATCATAATGGATGAACTTACTGAAGGGATGATAACTGCCAGGTGATTTGCACTGTTTTTTTGGGTTTTATTCATTTTTTAATTTTTTTAATATTCAAGTAGTTTCCTAACCCCCTCAGATAGCTGAAAAGTTGATATTTAGGGTGATTAGAATTTGCCTTAGGTCACAGGACTGGTTTCCAAACTGTATGTTTTTATCATGCTACATGCTAAAAAGTGAGGGTTTTTTTTTTTTTTTGTAATAGAAGTGCCCTTTTTTTTTCTGTTGACATATCTTAGACATCTAAATAAAGACTATTCTTGCCCTTTTGAGTAAATTAGTTGCAAAAGACTCATGGGAGTGTTTAGCAAGCAAGTTCTATTTCATTATAAAAGAAGGAAAAGCAGTGCCCTAGTAGACCGCTTTAGTGTCCTCGATGGGTCTTATACACTCTGCAGCTCCCAATCTTTTCACGTCCCGTAAGTAGTTTCCCAAAACAAAATATAAGCAGCCTAATTTCATTCCTAGAAAACAGATTTGTGGGAATACCTGATCAAGATTTATTCTTCGGTGCTATTAATGTATTTTAGAACATTTTTGAAACTTACTTTGTTCTATTTTTGTTTTTGTTTTTTTGGGTTTTTATTTTTTTTCTTTTTGGAGAAGTTTTTGCTGTTAAGGCGCGTGCGCTTGCCAGAAAGACAGAGACAGACAGAAAGCGAGAAATCACCCCCAGGGGGTAAGGCCATGCCGCAATCCCTTCTCCTCCATTCTCCTCTCAGGATCTTGGGCACGCACACACATGTGCCCAGAGTGAGTTTAAGCCACCGGGTCCGGGACTCGAACTGCAGTCAACTATGTGAAAGTCCAGTGACATAACCATTGCCCCATCTGCTGGTCCCTGGCCTAACTTTTTAAGACATTTCTTTCCATCTTTCCTAACTCCTGATAAAAGCTTTTCATGTCCTAAGATTGACATAATGCCCAGTGAATGTTTGGGACATTGTCCTTATAACCTACATTTTGAACTTTATCTGTTATTTGCATCACAAACGTGACCCTTTCTATACATTCTGTACTAGTTTCTGTCAGGGTAGCAAAAACTGTTCAAGATTACGTGGAGTCATGAGTGATCTCTGGGTAAATGAGGATCATCCACATGCTGTGGAATTGATTTTAAATGCATTCATTTAAGAAAATAAATTGGCATTGTTTTGCTAATAAATTAGCAAAATGTTCACAGTAACTTTTGAAAGGCAAAAAAAAATTAGAGGTGGTAATATTGTGGAATTGTTAATAAACACAAAAATAAGTAAAGCATGAAAATGTTTTAGGCTATAAGAGGGTACATGTAGAGGAGATGACAGACATAAATATGTGTAATTTTAAGGTTCACATTGTATAATTCATCATTTAAAATTTTTAATGTAAAATAATTTCAATTTAACATTTAGTCAGGTCATTTTCATCACTTATTTGGAAACTTAGAAATTAGCATTTACTGGGACCATTGTAATGGCTATGTTGCTGGACTCCCACGTAGTCGACCGCAGTTTGAGTCCCGGACCCGGCGGCTGAAACTCAGGTCGGGCGCGTGTGCGTGCGTGCCCAAGATCCCAAGAGGAGAATGGAGGAGAAGAGATTGCGGCGTGGCCATCCCCCCTGGGGGGTGATTTCTCGCTTTCTGTCTCTCTGTCTCTGTCTCTGTCTCTGTCTGGCAAACGCATGCACCCTATAGCAGAAACCTCTCAAAAAAAAAGTAAAAAAATTAGCATTTACTTTAAAGTTAATCACAAGTTAAATTTAATAACTATATACAGTACCAAATTATTATGACTAGAAAAAAATCTATTCTTTGACTTCTAAGCACAAGCACAAATTTACACCTATTATGGATAATTTTTCCTGCATGGATATTTTCTATTAATGAGAAAACATATAAAAAACGGTAATATGCATCCTCATCTTTTTCTAGCATATTACAGAAAATCATTGCATAAAGTAATGCAAATAGCAAAATTTAATGCATAAGCGATGGTTGCCTTTCAAAGAGAATCATTTTAGAATGATTTAATTTTACTTATTAATAGTAATAATTTGGTCAGACAGAGAAAAGAAGAGGGAAAGGGAGAAAGCAAACAACCAGGTCTGGGACTCAAACCGTGGTCGACCACGAGGAAGTCCAGTACCTTAACCACTTTGCTACCACTGGCTCCCCAAAATAGAATTTAATCTACAGAGAAAACCAGCTACAACATGTTTTTATATGCCTACAAAAGAACATAGAGAAAGTATGTATATGTGTACATACATGACTGGTACATCAGACTGATAGCGGTCCTGAATATATTTCACTTGGTAAAAAGTCTTAAATGTGGTGGCAATCATAAAGTGCTTTAAAATTTTAGGAAAAAAGAAGTAAGCACTAATTATACTAAAGTTTAAAATATCTAATAGGAGACAGAAGACTGAAATAATGGAGTGTGTCTCCCAAGAACTTCAACTGCATCACAAAATTCCCTCCTCTTTTTTGGATATAGTGAGTATGAATACCATTGGCACAGGTACGGTTTAAAAACTGTCACAAGTATGGAAGGAAATGGGATTTCTATCCTGCTTTTAACTATAAAACTTAAGAAGAAGTTGGCGCTTAGAGTTCAGCATGCAAGATTAGTTTTTATATGCAAGTGAGGTCAAAAGAATCAGGTTTTTTTTATTTTTTTTGGAGAGGTTTTTGCTATAGGGCACATACGCTTGCCAGGAAGACAGAGAGAGACAGAGAGACAGAAAGCGAGAAATCACCCCCCAGGTGGGATGGCCATGCCACAATCCCTTCTCTTCCATTCTCCTCTTGGGATCTTGGGCATGCACGCACATGCACCCGGTGTGAGTTTTAAGCCACTGGTTCCAGGACTCGAACCATGGTCAACTACATGGGAGTCCAGTGACATAGCCATTACACTAACTGCTGGTCCCAAGAATCAGGTTTCTTTCGAGCAGCCTCCATGTGTAGTCTACGTGCTCTCTAAAAACCACACTAGCCTCTGAGTACCACTTTTTCCCTTTCAGAGGTTGTGCAGCTGAATAGATAAAGCAGGGCATGCTAACACAGAGGTGTAGGTTTACCTGTGCCACTGATCGACCACAGCCTTGGATGGTAACCTCCAGATTATCTTGGGTTTGGGCTCTCCTGTAGCTGAGCAGTTCAGTAGTAATTGGTCCCCCAAATTCACCTCTGTCCATTTCTGGGATGCAGCTTCTATCCTAGGGATGGTGTCCCGCTCCTCGGTTGTGAGCAATACCACTCTTCTGTCTGAGCCAGTGGAGCTGGTGGCGATGCATTCGTAAGTGCCCCGGTCCGAAGAGGCTATGTTTCTTATATACAGAGTTCCGTTTGAAAATAAGAACAATTTGGAGTTGATAAATTGTAAGGGTTTCACTGCTGTGCCATCGGAGAGCACCCAGTGCACACGGGGCTGGGGCGTCCCTTTTGCAGTACAGGGCAGTTTCAAACTTTCACCCCACGTCCCTTCAACGACTTGCCTCTTTTGCTCTAGAATGACGGGTGGGGCTGCGATGACTTGTATTTTAACAAGCAGGGAATCTTGGCCAGCTGGGTTGCTGGCGATGCATTTGTAAAAGCCCCGGTCATAAACGCTGAGATCGTGGATGACCAGTGTTCCGTCAACCATCACGAGGGCCTGACTGTTTCCCTTGGACGAGTCTGAGATCACAGTTTGATTTGCGAGAATCCAGGAGATGGTAGGGTTTGGCCTACCTTCTGCTCTGCACTTCAGTTCCACAGTGCTTCCAGAATGAACTGTGACCTCTTTGGTATGTGTCTCCAGGATCCTGGGAGGATAGGAGACCACAGACAGGGTCACATGAAGGCGGTCTGTGCCAAAGAGATTGGATGCAGAGCACAGGTACTGTCCACGGTCCTGAATGTCCACCCTCTGGATGGACAGGGTGCCATTGGAGAGCACCTGGAACCTGCTGTCTTGTTTCCTTTTAGACAAATCAAGCCCTGATAAGAAGAAAGAAAGAGATAGTGATAGGCCATCGATGTTTAGATAGCTATCTTTTTGTTAGGTTACTGAACATAATTTTTTTTAAATAAAATTTCAAATGAAAGTTAAGGTACCTAGTCTTCAGATAGCTAAAATTACTCCTGGATATTTTTATGCATATAATGTAAATTTTAAAAGCCAGGTGGTTCAACATAATAACCAGTTTCTTTTTAAACAAAAGTCATATTTCTTTGGATCTGCTTTCAAACCATTTCCCAAGAAGGTTTTAATGTATTTTTAAAACTGAGGGGCCAGCAGTTAGTGTAATGGCTATGTCACTGAACTCCCATGTAGTTGACCGCAGTTCAAGTCCTGGACCCAGGGGCTTAAACTCACACTGGGCATGTGTGCATGCGTGCCCAAGATCTCAAGAGGAGAATGGAGGAGAGGGGATTGCGGTGTGGCCATTCCCCCGGGGGGGGGGTGATTTCTTGCTTTCTATCTCTCTGTCTCTTTCTGTCTTTCTGGCAAGCACACGCACCCTATAGCAAAGACCTCTAAAAAAAGAAAAGAAAAGAAAAAAACACGAATGAGGGGGCCAGCAGGTGGCATGGTGGTTAAGGGCGCTGGACTCCCACATGGCCTACCACATTTTGAGTCCTGGACCTGACAGCTTTCTATCTCTCTCCCACTCTGGTCAAATTAAGATACATAAAGTTAAATAAAATAATTGTTTTTTTTTTAAAAAAAAAACCTAATAAGCAAAAAATAAAAATATGCAAATGTCAAATAACGGTATTAATAGTTTCTGTATCTAGGAGAAACTTGAAACAAGTATGATTCCTTGGATGTGAAACCCAAATACGATCTTTTCCTTATTTTACAATTGCAGAAGATTAAATGTAAAGAAAGTGTTGGAAATACCTGAGGAGACTCGGGTCCAGCGGATGGTTGGTGGAGGATTTCCAGCAGCCTCGCAGGGAAGAAAGGCATCGGAGTCGGCTGTGACAGTGAAGCTCGCAGCCTTCCCACCCACTATTCTGGGCTTTTCAAAGGTGTCCCTGAACAAAGAGTCAAAGGGAGGGAGCTCAGAAATCATTACTCTTTCAACTGGTTTCTTATCAAAGCCACTCTTCTCTGCATTCTTTTGTCCATCCCAATTTGAAGAATGAGTGTTGGCCTCTGGTAAGCTCAGAGTGGGTACCATGCTTAGCACTGGCTTTTTGCCTTTTTCAGCAATTTCTGGGTACGATTTGTGCCAAAATTGGTTTTCTGACCAGGGGGAGGGAGTCCACTTAGAACTCTGTGGTTTAACTGTTACGACTGCTGGCGCGAGGGTAGAATAAAACAGATTAGAGTAAATAATGTGAGTGGTTCCAGTTGTGACCTTGGCATCTGGGCGAGCCTCGGGGGATGTTGCAAGCTCTGCTGCTAATCGCTGTGGATCGGTATGGCGCCCTGGGGGCCCATGTGGCTTCACTTCTGTGTTTGTCATCACGCTGAAAACAGGAGTTGTCATGTCAATAGCTGCACTTTGAGAAAGGGGAGGGGAGGTGGAAACCGGCATTGGAGTCACACCACTGCTCAGGAGAGGTGGAGCAGTCGGGGGCGTGCTAACCACTTCCCCAGTTCTACTCTGCTGTGACTCACTGGACAGAGTTGTTTCAGAGGCAGTTGTGCTCTTCAAAGTCTGAGCACTCTCTGGGGGTGGTTCTTTAATTACATCTGTCAGATCGAAAGTTCCTGAATGAAAAGCAATTGTGCCCCAAATTCCATCTGTGTTTTCCAGAGGGGAATGAGTGAAAGCAGAGACAGTAGGCTTGACTGACAGTTCGTCTGTGGTTAGAGCAGGAGGTGACACGGCAGTGGGTGCAGTGGAGCCAAGACCCCGGCTTGGAGGAGTGCTTGGATCATTCCTGTTCTGAGGCTCCTTTTTCCCTTGTATTTTTTGTGCAGTGGGTCTCGCCGTTTGGGTTTTATAGTCAATTGCAGATGCAGTGGCCGTGGGAGGAGCTGCCAGTGTGGCTGTCTGAGTTTCTGCAAAGCGTATCATACTTGATTCTCTGTTTGTGATGCTGGGAAGGGTAGGGTTAATGGGTTGGAAGGGCAACATCTTCGTTGTTGGGAGACTTCTAGGACTGTGTGTTTGCGTGGTATTGTAGTTAGTTGTAGCCAATGGTACAGATGGAATCTCTGCCATCCTTGCTGACGGTGTTGTGAAGTGGAAGGGAGAAACTCTATCTGTGGGCAAAGCAGGTGATATCTTAAGAAACACGGTTGTACTTTTTGGAAAGCCAAATTTATGCCAATTCTTTAATCGCTCTTTTTGGAGAAGGTTATTTCCAAAGATCTGACGATGCCAGGGAATTTTCCTTGTTGAAAATCTGGAGATGGCTATCGTAGTAGGCATTGCTGGCTCGGTGACAGGACCTGCCATTGCTGACATCATCCCTGAATCTCTCCTAGCTTCACTGAGGCTGGTCCCACTTGGGTAACCAATATTGGTTATGGGGGCTGTTTCCATAGACAGGGATGTTGGGGCGTCAATCATAGCCACATCAGCTGGACTCACTTGGGTACTTTCCACACTGAAATACTTTATAGTGGGTGTTGTTTTATCAATGTCTACATTCGGTTTGTTCTCAGTTGGCAGTGACGGATTCTGGACTAGAGTTGTCATATCTTCTGATGTGATTCTGGCAGTGTCAGCTCTGGGGTGGGTCGGGGTTAGAGAACTTGGAATAGGCAGCATTGCTGTGGCAGTGGCAAGCCCACCTCTGCGAGGACAGGAGAGACACATCACATTGAGCTCTGGGGCTGGAAACGCAGTGGTGCTATCTCCAGAAGGACCTCTGAATGTTGGCCTCACAATGCCATATCTATGCCGTCGGAGAACTGGAGTTCGATACTGGCTGATGATTCGACCCCTGCCCCAAATTCCCCTCCGTCTCCCAAAGCGTCTGGGTGGTGGGGTATTAGTTGTACTATTTTTAGAAATCTGCAATGGAAAACGAGCGGCATTTGGATCTGAAGGGGGCCTAGAGGTGCTAAGTTTCCGAGTAACATGAGAAGAGAGGTGATAGCCACCTGGAGTCGGCACTCCTGTTACAGATGTCTGGTGGCTATTCATGGTCCCAGCTGTCTTTAAGGATACCCCAGCGCCATCATTAGTGCTATTAAGCATGTGAATATTGACAGCTCTGATCACAGTTCTTACTGTTACTGGGGGTGCACGGCGGAAATACTCTCTTCTCCCTATTTGGTCAGTGTCTGGCAATTCGTTCACTCCAGATAGTAGTGGAAATGTAGTAATTGCATCTTGGTTGACTGTGCTTCGTAATTTGCTTGATATGGTTGGATTTATACCCTCTGACATGGCTGTAGTTTTAATAGCAGTTGATAGTTTGAACCCTGCTGGTTTTCCAGGTGGTTGTATTTGTGGACTCACAATTGGGGACACTTGAGCTCCAGAAGCTGGATTTGTCACAGGGCCACCTGACCTGGAGGCAGCAGTCACTGTCTTCACTGGGATATCTGAAGCTTCAGTCGCCAAGACCATGAACTCCTCATCTGGAGGGAGCATGCCTGAAGACTCATCTTGCGGACCCAGGGTTTTTAGGAGTTGAGTTACCAGTGGGGGTGGTCTTCCTGTGGCATCATGTTTCCCTGGCCCGGCATTCTTTTTGGCTTTCTCCAAAAGAGCTGCCCAGTGTTGTGGGTCAATTCTCCGAGCAGAGGGAGGGAACTGCCTCTTATACTCCCTGAAGCGCTGGATTCTTGAATCTCCATGCCGCCGGGCCATTAACTCCCGAGAGCTGTGCTTGTCACTTGAGGTATGCTTTCCAACCTCAGCCTCCACTGGGGCAGATGTGGGGGTCTGCACATCTGGTAGCTCCTCAAGGCGAGTGAAGGGACTAGGCTCACCAAGTCCAGACCCATCTGTGTCTCCATTAAGCCCCCCTGGCCTTTGTCCTTTTATTCTGACAGAAACCTGGAAAGTTAAAAAATCGACCCCTGATGGGTTAGCTGCTACACAATGATAATGACCTTGGTCTTTTGGGGCAACCTGAAATATTCGTAATGTGCCATTATTAAGAATTTGCTTGTCTCTTGAGGACTGAGAGAGGATAGTGTTTCCTGGAAGAACCCAGCTAATAGAGGCATCGGGAATACCAGAAGAATGGCATGGAAGGTCAAGTGTTTCACCAGTGAAAACCGTGTGATGAATCCCATTTTCACGAGAGTCTTCCACGGAGGGCTCTACTACGGTTACCCTATAGGTGAGGATATCTGCATCATCGTAATTGGTGCTTATACAGTGGTATATACCTGTGTCAGAACTATCAGCCATCTGGAGTTCCAGTTTTCCACTTTTGTCTATTAGGATCCGCCCATCTTCACTAACATAAGGGGCTCTCACTTTACTCCCGTCAGCTAGAAGCCACTCCAGATGTGGTGTGGGGTCTCCTTGGCCCGGGCAGATCAGGTCAATAGTCCCACCTACCGTAACTGTGTGTTCCAGCTTAGTGCTGTTATTCCTTGAGATCATCGTCCATTTGTGTCTCACTGGTCTCATCTCCGCCCTTGGTAAAGTGACTTGAGCATTGCCCGAGTACTGGATCTGTAATGCACTGAGTGTGGTGGCAGTTCTATTGAGCTGCAAAGAAATTTGGTCTTGCATTAACCAAGAGGGATCTGCTCTGAGATCAGCCTCTATGTTAGTAAAAATGTCTTCAGGCTTAGGTGCCACCTGTTTGTATTTGTAACAGAGCTGCGGTGTTTCCGTGAGCAAGTGGCTCCTTTCCAGTATTAGAGGAGAATCACTGTACAAAGCCAGAACTTGCCACACAGGCTGGATGTCACTGTAATCTATGTGGCACACTAACCATGTTGAAAACGATGTATTTAGCATGATGTTGTCATTTTCTTCAGTAAATGCAATGGGTGATGTCCTGGAGGGCTTTTGGATACTGCAGACCATGTTAGCTTCATTTCCAGACTGGTCTGTCATATTCAAAGTGAGGGAGCCCAAGGGGGCCATGAAATCTTGGGGAGAGACAGGGACAGAACTGCTGTCTTCCGGAATAGTCAGACTCTTGGATTTCAAGGACGAGTCGATGGTTGGCTTGGCACACAGGAATGCTGCAGCTGGGATCAGAGCTAAGGACTTGCCTTTAGAGGTCCTGGGGTTCATGCAGAGAGGACATTGCTGAGGGCTGGAGGGACTTCTGTCTTTTTTGCACTTTATTACATCTAAGAAAAATCACAATTGCGTTATCAGTTTTGGCTTCTTTATGAACTAACATTTGAGCATTTTGAAATAGCTTTGTCTAGGATTTGAAAGATAATGTAAAATTTTAGTGTTTTGCCTCAAGAGATTTCTGTTTTTATTTTTTCTTAGTAATATGTCTCATTTTATTTTTTAGTGCGAGTTCTTTTTTATGTTATGATTTGTTATTTATATACGATCATTGTCTAAATAAAGACAATGTTGATATGTCTTCCTATAAAATGGTATACCCAGGGGCAAGGATTTTATGTCTTAAGCACTGTTGTATTTCCCATGATATATATTTAGTACTTAGTAAATATTACTTGAATAAATTATTTTCTTGTCTAGGAAACAAACAATGTGCTCATGTTTGTCAATTTTTAAATAAGGACAGTTTAGTTCTATTTCCTTATTTAGTAGTTTAAAATAATCATAGAATGTCCTCGTCCTTTAAGAGACAGCCTGTTTGGCCCAGGCTGTCATAGTGCATGCTGGTAGTAGCTGCTCCTCTGAAGACTGAGGCCACATGGGAGGCCCGAGTCTGATTCTTGGCCTTCCCTAAAAACCAGGTGCATGTATGCATGCTGATAGTCCCACCTACCTGTGAGACTGAGGAAGGAGAGTCATGACATAGAAAATTAAAAAAAAAAAAAACCTCATTTGATGAATGATTACTAATAAATACTAAATACTTTGCTATTATTAAAAATAAACAAACAAAATGACTTTTTCCCATTATTTTCCATTATCCAGATGGAACAGTAACTGAATTACCAGGTGTTGGGCCCTGGTGGTTTAGCAGTAACAGGAATGGAGGAAAAGAGCTGCAGGACATAATGCAGCAGGTAGGACCAACCAATGGAAAGTGAGAACTGATCTTTTTCTTGTCCATGTCCTCGCCGTCTGATTCACTCTCTTCCATCCCTGCCTCACTGCTTGCGACTTGTTTTTCAGGACCTAGCCTGAATCTCTCTGGGTGTTCATGTTCTCCTGACACCTTTCATAATCTCTCATCCCACTCTTCATCATTCTCTATTAGAATGGTTTGTTTAGGGACCAAGAGATGGTGTAACATTTTCCTCACTGGACTTGCATGTAGTTGACTGTGGTTCAAGTCCCAGACTGGCAGCTTAAAACTCACGTTGGGCATGTGTGTGCCCAAAATCCCGAGGGGAAAATAGAGGAAAGGGAATTGTGGCGTGGCCATCCCCCTGGGAGGGTGATTTCCCACTTTCTGTCTCTCTCTGTCTCTCTTGTCTCTCTGGTGGGTGTATGCAGCCTATAGAAAAAAAAATTATCTCTGAAAAAAAAAAAGAATGGTTTGTTTAGTTGTCTTTCTTCCCACGAGACTGTAAATTCCATGTTTGTTCATCTGTTTGTCCCCAGCCTAGTGGATGCTCAGGAGAGATCTGTGGGAGGGTTGGAGGAAAGAAGGAAGATCTCATTCTAAGACTATATATTTTTCCACATTTTAACTTATATATGAAGACATCTTACAATTAAAGGTGTTTTCGGTAGCAGTTGGCAGTCTTAATACAGCTCTCACTGCCTGTATACTCACAAATATTGTCACAGTTTTTTATATTGCTTCCTCTTCAACCATGTCACATGCATTGTTGGTACTACATGTATTCAGGTGCCACTTAATGTGCTATGATTAAGATTACATTGTGCTTCGGTATTACAACAAGAGGTATGCATACTATGTATGTAGAAAGGCCTGGAAACAGTAGAAGGACATAAACTTACTATTTGTGAAACAAATGTTTGTCAGAGAAATGGCTGTCAATCCAGAGTTTATAGAAAAACACCACCCAAATCCTTGAGGAACCAAGAAATGGAAGCACACAAGGTTAATGTGACTGATTCATGGGTCTTACAGGATTATCATTAAGGTATCCCAGTCAAAAAGAGAACATGATTATTTGGACACAATTGAAACATGTTATCCCTAAGAGTAAAGTAGGAAGCATCTCACTTCCTGATCTCAAAATATATTACAAAGCTGTGATCATCAAAACAGCATGGTTTGGGCACAAAAGCAGGCAGGTAGACCAATGGAACAGAGAACCCAAAAGTAAACCCCAAAACATACTGCTAACTGATTTTTGACAAAGGGCACAAGACAACCTAGTGGGGAAAAGAAAATCTCTCCAGCAAATGGTGCTGGAAATATTGGATATCCACCTGCAGAAAAATGAAACTGAGCCCCTATTTCTCACTGTTAACAAAAGCAACTAGGGGGACCAGCAGTTGGCGTAATGGCTATGTCACTGGACTGCCATGTAATCGACCGTGGTTCAAGTCTCAGAACTGGTGGCTTAAACTCTCACTGGGTGCGTGTATGTGTGTGCCCAAGATCCCGAGTAGAGAATGGAGGAGAAGGGATTGCAGTGTGGTCATCCCCCCTGGGGGTGATATATTGCTTTCTGTCTCTCTGTCTCTCTCTCTCTGGCGAGCGCACACGCCATATAACAAAAATCTCTCTCAAAAAAAATCAACTAGGAATGGATCAAAGATCTAAACCTAAAACCTCAAACTATAAAACTACTGGAGGAAACACAGGAAAAATTCTTGGAGACCTCAGAGTTTGCAAAGCCTTCTTAAATTGCCCCCAAAGTACAAGCAATAATCTCAAAAATAGACAAATGGGACTACAGTAGGCTAAAAGCTTCTGCACAACGAAAGAAACAATAATTAGAGTGAGGATACAACCCTCAGAATGGGAAATATATTTGCAAACTATGCCTCCATTAAGGGACTGATAACCAGAATATACAGAGAACTCAAGCAGTTTAGCTAAAAAAACCAAACAGACAAATAAACAAAAACCTCTATCATAAGGGAAATGTAAACCCCAAACCACAATGAGATACCGCTTAACCCCAGTCAATGGCTAATGTATTCACGCTGGAAAAAAAGCATGTTGTACAATGTACAGATGTATAGTGATTAAAAAAAAAAGAAACAAGTTAGCCCTAATGGGGCTGTCTAATTATTTGACATATATGTATATGCATGTTATAGCTCTACATAGACATGATATGCACATATGACATGTACCTATCTATATACACATGATACCTATGATCTTAATGGTCCAAATTGTATTTATAGATATTATTTATTTTACTTACATATATAAACATATAAATAAAAATTGGGAACACATTAAGACCATAGGTATCTAAAGATCGGGTGATGGGTTCATTTTCAGTCATCATCAAAATGGCCATATAATTGATAAATGCTTAGTTTTAATAAAAATTATTGGGACCAACAAATGACATAATGGTTACGCCACTGGACTCCCACGTAGTTGACTGCAGTTTGAGTCCTGGACCCACTAGCTTAAAACTCACACCAGCCCCATGTGTATGCATGCCCAAGATCCCAAGAGGAGAATGGAAGAGAAGAGATTGTTGCATGGCCATCACCCCTGGGGGGTGATTTCTCACTTGGTGTCTCTGTCTCTCCGGCAAACGCACATGCCCTTTGGCAAAAATCTCTCAAAAAAAGTTATTGAGTACTTGCAGTGTTGTAGGCATATTCTAGGAATAGATATATTAGATAAGGAAGAGGCAACAGGCATCTAATACTAGTAATATAATAAAATGCTATCCATTTTTAAATGGTAGTATGGCAAATTACAGAAATGGTAAGGTGATTATTTTGATGCAGTTGGGGTGAGTGGAGGAGCAGTTAGACTTCCCAGAGGGGTAAGTACCGAGCTGAGTTTGCTGCTGGCTGGGAAACCATCGAGCAGAAAAGGGTAGGAAGAGAGAGTAGCAGTTATCAGAGGGCAAAAAGCTATGATGCATCTGAAGTTCAGAGTTGTTAGGGTGATGTTCCTGGTTGTCTGGGTTGGGAGAAGAGCTGAGTGTTGGAAAGGAAGGAAAAGAGGTTGAGTGTAGGCAAGGACCATCCCAGAGGACCTTCCATGCAAGGCTAAGGGACATAGAGATTGGACTCTAAGCCAGGACTTGGCAAACTTTTTATGAAAAGGGCCAAACCATGAAGATTTTTGACTTTGTGGACCATAAGTCTCTAACACAACTGCTTTACCAGGCCACTGGGCCACAAACACAGCAGCCATAGAAGATGTGCAAAGGATTCATAATCACTGAATTATTAGTGAGACTTCATTTTCTTTTCAGTTAAATTACCATGTCTTCTTCACTTATTGATAAAAACACCTCTAGTCAAGATTCCTCTATTTAATTAGGACAAAAGAAATAAACAATAAAAGGGACCAGCAGGTTGGCCTGGTGGTTAAGTTATTGTACTCCCAGATGTCCAGTTATGGTTTAAGTCCCAGACCCAGTGGCTTAAAACTCACTCTGGGCATGTGTGCATGCATGCCCAAAATTCTAGGAGGAGAATGGAGAAGAAGGGATTGTGGCGTGCCCATTCTCCCTGGTGGGTGATTTCTCACTTTCCTCCTCACTGTCTCTCTCTGGCGAGTACGTGCACCCTATGGTAAAAACCATAAATAAACAAACAGTATAGATACCTGGTTTCTCCTGTGTCCAGTCAGACAACCATTTTAAATGGCAATCACAGGTCCAGGGGTTCCCATGTAGATAAAGGCTTTCTAGATGAGGCATATAGGAGACCATCTCTTGAGGGAGGGAGGTCAGGAAGTTATCAGACAGGTATAGGTACTTAATGAAAGATGTCTTAAATATCTGGAGGTAGCTCAAAGAGACAAAGGTATCTGGATGCAGCTTAGTGAGCTGATTTCCTTCCAAGTGCACCAGGCGCAGAAAGGTGAGTCCATAAAACACCTCTGGGTTTATAAACTCAATATTGTTGTGGTCCATATGCAACCGTGTCAAACTCCTGAGGCCATAGAAAGTATCTTTCTGAAGTTTTCGGACTTTGTTATAGCTCATTTTTAAGACCTAAGAATAAAAAGAATGCATTAATTTTGTCAAAGGAATTGTCATGAAGGAGAAATGTATCAATAAAATGGCATGTTGCGGTCAATCCAATGTCTATGATAGCTTGTTTAGATCCTATTTCAAATACATTTCTTCCAAATTAAATATAATATTAAGGGAATTAGAACACCCAAACATTTACTGATATTGAGGAATTACTGTTAAAATTATAAAATATAATAATGATGTTGGGGTTACTTTTAAAAGATTCCTTAACTTTGAGATACCGAAGCACTTACAAATGAAACATGACAACTTGGATTTGTATTTGTGTCCGAACAATTCAATGGAGTGCTGAGTAGTGGGGGTTCAGGTGAGGTGAGAACTATACAACTATTGAAACTGGGCGATGATTCACTGAGGTCATGATATCAGTCTCCCTATTACTGTATACAATCAGAAATTTCCATGATAGGGCTGGCAGGTGGCATGGTGGTTAAAGATGCTGGATTCCCACATGGCCGACCATGGTTCAAGTCCTGAACCTGGTGGCTTGCTTTCTCGCTTTCCTTTTCTCTCACTCTCTGTCTGATCAAATTATAAAATAATAATAACTAATGGAGTTAAATAATTATTTTTTTTAAATCTCCATGATGAAAAGTTTTTAAAAGTATGTTTCAAGTGAACATAACCTTTCTTAAACCTGAATTTTCATGAAAAAAATATTGATTTTATTTTTTAACATTTATAATATCTTCATTGAGATATAATTCACATGCTATAAAACTCACCTTTTTAAAATATGTAGTTCATTGGCTCTTCATGTATTTGAAGTTGCACAACCCTCTTCTCTAACTAACTTCAGAGAACTTTCACTGTCCTCCAAAAAAAACCCTGATAACTATAAGCAGTCATTCTCCTCCTCCTGGTCCTCCTCATTTACTATGTCTATGGATTTGCCTATTCTGGAAGTGTTATATAAATGGAACCATATAATATGTGGCCTTGTGTCTGGCTTCTTTCACTTGGCGTAATGTTTTCAAGACCCTTCTCTGTCATAGCATGCATCAATACTTTTTCTTTTTCAGTTGCTGAATAACATTCCATTGAATGTATTTTCCACATTTTTATCTCAGGTGATTGCCACTTTTTAGTTATTATCAGTAATATGATTTTAATTCCTTTTGAATTGAACATAATTTTTAAATATTTCAATAATGGTTGGGTATTCTCTAATTCTCTTTCCAGTTACTAGTTGAATATACCCTTTTGCCCAAAAAGAAAAGAAAAGGAAGTGATAGTAACAACAATGATTTATCATTTTCTTAAAGAATTATTTTTATTTTACTTTACTTACTTATGTGACCAGAGAGGGACAGAGTGTGTGTGTGTGAGAGAGGGAAAGTAAGAAAGCAAGCCACCAGGTCTGGGTCTTGAACCATGGTTGGCCATGTGGGAGTCCAGCGCCCTTAACCACCAAGCTGCCTGCCGGCCCCAATCATCATGTATTTTTGATTTGGCCTAAACTATTATCTCTGGGGAAGATGCTTTTCTGGAATCTCAAGTTCCCTACTAAGCAAAGAAATGTAAGTCAACAACATAGAAGAACATTGCCCCAAATGTTACTTGGAAATACAATTTCAAACTCAGTGTTCCTCAGATCTATTGAAAACCTAGTCAAGATAATAAATAGGTGTGGAGAGCTTAGTAAGAATATATACTCTACCTATTCCTTTGAGGATATGTATTTTAAACAGAGCGTATCAAAATCTCATATTCAGACTGAATTTCATTGCTCTCCACCCAGGTAAAACGTCCCTTACATCACTCTGGTGTGATGCCAAAAGGCTCTATGAACACTGGTAGTTCATCTCTTATAAAGATATTATTGACTAATTATAACGTATTGGGTCATTGGAAAAGTCATGATGCTTTTTTGGGTAGAAAAATATGTCATGACCTTTGCAGTGACCAAAAGGGACTTTGGAAGGCTTTCTTTCTGATTTAAAATCAGATATGTTTTTGTCTTTCTCAAATAGTTTTACTCAATTTACATTTAATCATTACACATTTTTATAGCATTAATATGGTTTTTCAAAAGCATGTGTCCATTGCATGTCAATTAAGTCAAAGATATTACTGTACATAAACATCATCCTCAACAGATAACTTTCCTTTCTTGTGACTGTTCATTTTTTTTTTCTTCCTGAGCCTCTCCCTCCCATCCTCACTGCCCACCTCCTTTGATGCAGTGCCTGGTATCTACACTTGCTGTCTCTGCTATTACATCTTCCAATCTTTGAGTTTCTGCCAAAAGTACAGACATTTGGTATATCTGTATTGGGGATATACCATGTCTGTCTGTCACAATCTGGCTTGCTTTGCTTAGCATTAAGTCTTCTATATTTATCCACTTTGTATCAAATGGCAGGGTCTCATGATTTTATATGGCTGAGTAGTACTCAGTGTTTATGTGCCACATATTTTCAATCCAGTCATCCATTCTTGGGCATTTAGGTTGATTCCAAGTCTTAGCAATTATGAATAATGCTGCAGTAATCATGAATGTAAGTGTCTTTCCCACTGAGTGTTTTCCTATCCTTTTGGGAAATACCCAGGAATGGTGTTACTGAATCTCATGGTGAATCTCATGGTCGTTCCATTTGTAGGTTCTTGAGGACCCTCCATTTGTTTTCCGCAGTGGCTGCACTCATTTGCATTCCCAACAGTGCAGGAAGGAGCATTCTCTTTCTACCACAGCCTCACTGGTACCTGTTCATTAGCTTTTTGATCATAGGCATTCTAACCAGGGTTAAATAGTATCTCATTCTGGTTTTCTAAAAAATCTACTAGATGGCATGAACTGTGAATTCGCTTCTAGACAGTTTTAAGTGTTACTTCTAGCAGACATAAGGATCTCTTCACATGGATTTCCCTGTGTCCCCTTGATTCCTACTTCCAGACTTGATTTAGTCTTTACTTTCTCACCTACTTGCGTGATATTTCTTACAATACTTGATTCATTTCTGGAAGTCCTCATGACTTAAAAAGTTTTTTAAACAAGGCAGGGCATAAGTAAGTAAAAAAAATTGAAACAAAAAGAGGAAAAGTCTATTCATCTATAAAAATCTAATGTGTCTAACATAATCTTAAGTTTAAAAACCATATTTGATTCCCAGAGGAAACATGACTAGAAGTAGCCTTTCAGGATTAAATTTTAAAGGTTTAGAAACCTCTGTATATTGATTATTTTCTTCTAGTATGAGAATACATGCAATAGAATTTTCTTATTCTAATTTCCATATATTGTTGTGTTTAAAAAGAAATCAGTTCTGGGACCAGCAGTTAGCGTAATGGATATGTCGCTGGACTCCCATGTAGTCAACCGCGGTTCGTGTCCCAGACCCGGTGGCTTAAAACTCACACTAGGTACATGTGCATGCGTGCCCAAGATCCCAAGAGGAGAACGGAGGAGAAAGGATTGCGGCGTGGCCATCCCCCCAGGGGGTGATTTCTCGTTTTCTGTCTCTCCGTCTGTCTGGCAAGTGCATGCGCCCTATAGCAAAAACCTCTCCAAAAAAATAAAGGAAATCAATTCTTCAATATCTTCCCCTGAAGTCTGCCTCTAATTTACTGAGTGTTTATTCTTGTATAGGAATGGGAAGCCTTTGCGGGTGCACACCAGGGTCTCCCTTACTCTAAACCCCCTCCCCTCACTAGCCTCACCTGCAATGCTTGCAAATCCGAGAAGGTCTTATCAGGGATGGTGTGAATGCCATTGCTGTGCAGCATGAGTAACTCCAATTTGTTCAGACCAGAAAAATCTGTTTCTGTCAGTCTAACCAAGCTGTTGTACCTGAAATAAGAATATTATTCTGGGCATAAGCTAAAGTTCAACGTCAAAGCGAAAGCAAACACATACACACAAACCAATGGGTCTCTTGTTTTACCTGGGCTATAACCACAGGAGATAATCCAAAAGTTAAAAAATATAATTAAAATCCACCAGATGTCATGGAAGGTCCACTCTCTATCCAACCCTCCAGCCTTGGCTACAATAACTCCCTTCACGTTCTCAGAGTTCATCACCTTCCTTCTTATTTTCAAACCTTTCTGTGTAAGCTCTTCCTTCAGGCTGGAATGCCCTTGCCCTTACTTTTTTTTTTTTTTCTATATGTGAACACTACAACCCAATCCATTCTTTTAAGTTTCTTCCCTCCCGCCAGCTCTTACCATCTCTTCTCCCCTCCTTCCCTCTCTTCCTCTCTTTTACTTTCATAGGAAAGAGGAAAAGACAGAGAAATACAGGCACCCTTGACAGGATCTCTCATGGGCATCGTCCCTGCAGCCTTTCTTGCCAGCTAGGACCACAGGCACAGTGCCCAGTCTACACAGGTTCACCTGAGAACTGAACTCCCGATCCTTCACACACACCCAGCATCATAGAGTGGCACGCCATCGACATGTCACGTCTGGCTCCAGGCTATTCTTTTAATGACACCGTCCCCTCATTCTCTTAGGTGGAATTCATATTATAAAGTAGCAGTGAAGAAACCTGGGCTCTGGAGCCAGTCTGGGACTTCTGGTTTGGGTATGCTCGTGAGCTCAGGCACTTAGTTGTGTGACTTAGAGTAAAACCGTCACCTTCCTGTGCCTTGGTTTCTCTGTTTTTATTCTGTATGCTGCTGAAGCAAGCACAGTTTTCTCATCTATAAAATGCAGACAACCTACTCCAAAGGGGTCATGAGGATTAAATGAATGAACACATGTAGAGTGCTTAGCCCAGAGCCAGCCCAGAATAACCATTAATGTTAGCTATTATGAGTAGTGATTATCCCCAAGACACTTCATACATTCTATTACAATATTTATTAGATTGCACCCACTATGTATTTGGCTTCTTCCTTTAACTGTACCTTCAAGAAGGAAAAATTGCATCTTGTTCCTCATTGTGTCCCTAGGCCAACAACTACAGTGCTTGGCACATAGTAGGTGCTCACTAATGTCAAATGGTGTTAAGTCTGGCTATGCATTCACACATACACTTTTCATCAACCTTTAAAATGTGGTCAGTCTTTTATAAGATTTTTGGTCTTTAGACATTTTTTTGCTGTAGGGTGTGTGTACTCAGAGAAACAGAAAGAGAGAAATCACTCCCCAGGGGTGATGACCACACCACAAATCCTTCATTATCCTCACAGGATTTGGGACACACATACACACATGCCCTGCGTGAGTATCAAGTTGCCGAGTCCAAGAGTCCAACAGTGGTTGGCCACATAGGAGTCTAGTACCTTAACCACTATGCCACCTGCTGGCCCCTAGAAGATTTAATTAGGATGGGACCAGCAGTTGGCATGATGGCTATGTTACTGAACTCCCATGTAGTCGACCATGGTTCGAGTCTTGGACCCGGTGGCTTAAACTCATGCTGGGCACGTGTGCGTGCGTACCCAAGATCCCAAGAGGAGGATGGAGGAGAAGGGATTGCGGCATGGCCATACCTTCTGGGGGGTGATTTCTCGCTTTCTGTCTCTCTATCTCTCTGTCTTTCTGGCAAGTGCACATGCCCTATACCAAAAACTTCTCAAAAAAAAAAAGATTTTATTAGGCATTCATTTTAAATAAATTTGTACCAAAAAGGGGGGGGGGGCAAAGGGCCTTTAAAAGGGATATAGCAGACTTTTCTTGCATATCTTTTCTATACCAGAATATTTCCAATTGCCCCATCATCTCTTATGAGATGCCCCATCATGACCCTGATTTTTTTCTTAGAGATTTTTGCTATAGGATGTATGCACTCACCAGAGACACAGAGAGACACACAAAGTGAGAAATCACCCTTAGGGGATGGCCACACTGCAATCCTTTCTCCTCTCCTCTCCTGGTTTTTGGGCACACGCACACATGTACTTGATGTGAGTTTTAAGCCAGAAGGTCCAGGACTCAAACTATGGTCAGCCATGTGGGAGTCCAGCAACACAACCACTAGGCCATCTGCTGGCCACCCCCTAACAGAAGCCATATTATTTTTCTGCAAAAATGTAGCCAGAATGAATCATCTTTGCAGTCATGGGCCTCCCACCTAGCAAGAGAGTCTTTCTTCAAGTTCTAGCAGAACTTTCTTCTAACAAAAGTTTACTGAGAGAAATTTTCTTATTGCCCCAAACTTCAGATTCCCATGAATTCCTTTCAGAAGAGAAAAATTGTTACCCTTCCAAAGTCTTGGAGAAGAGAATAAGAGAAGGCCCACTCACCCTAAATTGATGCGCTCCACGCTGGCCGGAATGCTGTCTGGAATGGAGGTCAGGTACCGAAATGTACAGTGTACCTCTGTAGGCACGAAACAGGTGCAGCGGCGGGGGCAGGCCCTGGCCCCGGGGGTGGCCACCAGGTAGATCACAGAGAAGGAGACCAGCACACAGCTGATTCCCCCACCTTTTACCTTCATCCTGAAAAAAAAATATTATACCTTGGGGTTTACAGAGGATTCAAGTAACATTCCAGGATCACCATACAAGGTACTCTAGGAATTTGGGAGACCTCCTTACAGGTGATACTTGGCCAATTTCATTCACAAGTTTTGTCGTAAAATGTACTTTAAAAAACCATAGTGTGTCGGGACCAGCAGTTAGCGTAATGGCTATGTCACTGGATTCCCATGTACCCGACCACGGTTCAATTCCCGGACCCAGTGGCTTAAACTCACACCAGGCGCATGTGTGTGCATGTCTAAGATTCCAAGAGGAGAATGGAGGAGAAGGGATTGCGGCGTGGCCATCCCTCCTGGGGGATGATTTCTCGCTTTGTGTCTCTCTGTTTCTCTCTGTCTTTCTGGTGAGTGCATGTACCCTATATCAAAAACCTCTCAAAAAAAAAAAAAAAAAAAACCAAAGGGGGGGGTGACCCCACACAAAACT